ATCAAAAACGGAAGCAAAGTTTGAAGAGACAGCGTGCATGTAGTTGGCTGTACTTAGCTGAACATTCGGTCCAATTCCAGGTCAGTTCTACATCAGTAGAACCTCGTACCCAAAACACTGCAAGGGTCACACGCATGCAATGTGACTCGTCCCAGCACGCAACACTGCCACGGAGCGCGCGCTCATCAAGCTTGCGCATGCGCAAAACCGAACTCAGTGACCTTTCCGGCTCGACATGTCCGTACGAAAAGGCGGATCAAACGTAAGTGGAAACACGACTGCTGCAGTTTGGTTGCAGTAAGATAACGATCACACCAAAATGCCACCTTTTCCCTATTCAAGTGGGAACGCACTGTTACAGACAAACCTTGACCAAAATTGAAGTAGCGACAGGTAAGGCATCAACGTCATCTTCATATTCCACATGGATGCGCAGTGGGTGGGAGGTGCTGCGTCGTCTGAGTCTATCTCCTGGTGCCTGTTCAAGATGAACTCTGTGTTTCATCTGTATTAAGTAACAAAAAGTGTACACAAACATCGTTTATAAAAGTTGAAGATCATGGAGAAGACACACCTCTTTTTTTTTTCTCCCAACTGCCTTTTCTTTCGCATTCTTTTTTCTGTAGCCCTCACCTTGGGTGGTCACAGACGGCCTAGTGTGACTGGATGTAAGACAAACTGTACACATGTACATGCACAATATACAGTATGCACCAGGTGGTAACTTACTGTACAACTCATGAATGATTATATGTCATATACAGTACCAGTACATGTAGACATTCAACGGGCCAAAAACATCACTGGGACAAATTTTAGTCCCGACATTTGCAACTCATCCCGACTTTCCCAACAAAAGAAATTGTCCCTTCAATATCAAGGGGAAGGCCTACCCCGCGCACGGTACGCGTGTGTAGACTGTACTTTTCTTACACAGTTTTGTTCTCCTCTGACTTCACAAGGCAAACTACTCCAATTTTCATTTCAACCACCTCACTGCACACTGCAATATCGTCTGCATCGCTGCACTTTCATTTTGGCTTGCCTGGGATGAATTAACGATGCATTACTGAAGGGAAAATGTGCAGTCATTACCAGAACATGGAACAGTGTGACAGGGTGTGAGTAAAGAGCCTACAGACAGTGGCATTCTTTCTGACAAGCAAAAACAGTGCCATATCAGATTCTGCATTTCGAAATGCGGGCCTTCATTAGGAAATTTTGGTGATAATTACACACTAGTTCTGTAGCATCTGCCCACAAAAAAAGAAGTACATGTACATTTGTTCCGAACCTGCACAAAACAGCACAGTGCGCAGAGCAACTGCCATGGTAAACACAGACAATATTAAATTGTGCCCAGTAGTAATCCAGTACACTTTTTTTCCCAGTCATGACACTGTACGCGTATTTCACTGTCGGCAAGTACAACATGAGAAGTGGGTAGAAATGCCAATGTGGTCCGGTGAGGAGGTAAGGATACACCTGTCACAATCCACACTTCGTAACTGCTGCCACTGTCAAAACACTCGCACCTTCGCTGGCAACCAGCACAATAAATCAGACACGAGCACGACATTTTGCCCATTTCCAAAAAGAAGAACAAGACTGTTTTAAGTGAGTTACAATGTATGGAATGCTTGTGGTCAAGCTTGGCAAATGCTCAAAAATTATGAGAGTAAAACCTGGCATTATGATTTTCCTTGAGAAATTTTTCCTTTATCAAGGCACATGCACGGGATAAATAGTGAAAAACTTCTCTTGACTTCCATTCACGCTTTAACTTCTTAAATTTTAACTTTTTAGTCTTCACTCTTGCTTTTGGTTTGTTGCAATCGTCTATTAAGTGTTTAATTGCAGGTTTTAAGCAATGTAACACACACACACTTTGATGTTCAGGTCATGATGATACTAGCGATTAAAATCTCAAAACTGTTCTTATTGACACAATTAAAGTGTTAATGTTCAGGTACATACATGTACATGTACCACTGAGGTACGGTATTTAATTGCCTGCAGTGCTTCAGCGTACTTGATCTCCAACAATGTCACTTTGAAATACAGGTATTTACCAGGGTACCAACATGCACTGATTAAATCTGTAGCTGGCATGGCTGGGGAAAAACACAAAGCACTAAGAAAAAAGGGAAATTAGTGACATTCATCCTAAGATATTGTTCCGCTGAGGAACAGAACAGGTGTTGAGGGCGCTTTGGCTTGCGCTCTCAACAGTGTTTAATTAGCACGCGTCAAATCGAATCTTGTTGTTTTCTTCCTTTTAACGCTGATTTTCCCCACTTTGCCAGTTACCCGTTTACAGTTTAGACGTTTAAGTGCAGTCGCCGTTCTTAAAGAACTTATTTCTGTAAGTAGTAAATTGTTCATGATTTTCTGTTATAATTATTAGTCTGATATAGATTTCAATGGTAATGGTGTGTTTTCTCAGGTATCTGTGCCTATTTGCGAGTTTAGAAATGTGAATGTTTTTTCTGAACTCTGATTTTTCCCTGGAAAGTGTAAGTCCTTCACCGTTAAAGCTGAGTTATATTCATGGAAGTAGTCTTTAAATCACAGAGTTTTTGTCCTGGGAACGCACGGTTTATTCTGTTACCCCGACTTAAGGACAGTTCTGTATTACTGCTTTTTCTAGCTGTATCTGTTGAAGCTGTCGGTGCTGTTGAATCTGAATCTATTTACGACTGGTGAACTGCTTGATACTGTGGATTGTTGGGGTGAAAAGTTGTAAGTTTATTTCCGTGTCCGTCTAGTTTGATCCGAATAGCTGTTACATCATTTGACCTTGACCCTACTTTACCATACATGTATGTATATGCTAACCATACATGTATATATTTCTCTTTACAACGCTGTAACCAGATCTGTTGATTTCAACTGTTACTTAATGCTTTTCCTTTTCTCGATTTGATTCTTTTCAGAATTGAATAAGACACAATTATATCAATACTTGACTCCACATCCGCCTCCTGCCTCTCCACAAATCATGAAATGCTTTAAGGGGAAGACACTGTACCTGTATGATTTCTTAAAAATGTTTTAACCCTAACAGTCCTCAATCCTCCAACAGGTGAAGGATTGGGGACTCTTAGGGTTAAACATCCAAATACGTACATGTACATGAACAACTTAACAAGTGTATACAAGTACATACATGTACATATGTCAAATAATTTAAAAGTTTGCTGAATTTTTCTTAGACAAAATTTTTCTTTAATTTTCTATTATTCAGTGAGCACGTATGAAAACTCCTTTTACATTGCTTTGTGGTAAAATGCACTGAAAAGAGAAATGCATTTGTTAACAACTGAAATTATCCATACATGTACATGTACTTTCCTGGACAACTGACACATGATGGAGGGTGCTATTTCGGTGAAGTCATCTGGCATGTCTGGGGAGGAGAGTTCAGTGCATAGGCTTTTCTTATCACACTGTGAACCCAGAATTTATTCACTGAAAAGATTTACACATGTATTTTCTGAGAGAGGGATCTACTGCTAATGCTATGCACATGAACAACAATGGATCAGCAAAGAAGAAAAAACCGAATCCAGCAAAATCTAAAATAATGCATCCTGCAGTTTTGTAGATTTTGTTGCGTACAAACCAGGGATGACATCACAGTTTTGCTCATGAATATGGAAGCCAATTAGCATAATAGCCAAAAAAAGGCAGTAAAATACCCTTTGTAATATAGTGAAACAAAAGTTGAAAATAAGGTTAACTGAGACACAAAGGTGAATTTTGAAGGCCTGTATTAAAACCAATCGATTACAGCTACAGTGCCCCTTAAATAACGAGAAGTACATATACAGTATACATGTAAGTACACTGCACTCTACATGTACATTACAGGAACATGAACATACAAGAAAAACCTTTCCTTTTAACAGCAAACAATTTGATACTCTGCCGTCTAAATTATGTACAGTTACAATGATTCACACCGGTACATGTCTAGACCCTGCAATAACAGCCAGTCTTGTGTTCTGGGAGTATCCATGTCTTGTCCCCTGGGCAGATCTGAGTGAAGGAATGACACTGGTCACACCCATTTTGTCCTTCTGCTTAATAAAACTTCAATATTTCTCCCTGAAAAATTTAAGGGTACACACCTGGTACATGTACATGTACGTGGTACATGTTCTGTACATTGTTCATCACTAGTGCATGTCTGAGACAACCTTTCTATTTTCTCTTCTCATAATTTCACCGATGTAAATAATGTATGTAATTCTTTAAGGAACGTTGTTGAAATGAATTACTGAAATTGTTCCAGTACATGTACATGTGTAGCATAAAGAAACGTACATGTTTTGTCAATGCTGTCAATAGAGGGTCTGCTAGGCTGCAATTTGGTAGGTCAATGCTTTTGTTCCACAGGGTAAGCACAAAGGAGGTTTCCCTGTGGAACAAAAGAACTGCCCTCCAAGATGGCTACCACAAAAAACCTCTATACATGTATGTCAGTTCTTTTGCCAACTTGCTTTTGTGTACAATACATGTACATGTACACTTAGGATGAACATGTACATGTATGTTTCACCCTATTCCTTGCTGAGTGTAGGATTTGTCAAACATGATTGTCAGCACAAATCACGGTAGCACTTGCAATCCACACAAGTTTAGGATTAGAAAAGTGAGCTTGTTATAAAGACAAGACCCTACCAGTCATGGTTACCTGGTTACAAGCATCTTTTTGACACCTTGTTGAACTGACCAGAGTTTCTGTTCCCTAGGGTTGCAGGCAAATAAATACATGTAGGTCCAAAACTGCCTGCATGATTTGGAGGCTGTCAAATTCTCTGCTGTTAGAGCCTTTTGTGGCATGTGGACTGGGTGGTTTGTTAAAAGGGTGGATGAAATGCAGGGGCAGGACTGTCAGCTTGTACATTGTGAGTATTTCTGACAGTATCAGACCAATAGGCGTCTTGAACACCTGTTTTCCTGATTTTTTGAAGTGGGGATATTTATCACTGTTGTCTACGGCAGCTCATTTACTGGTCTGGCCCCCTGGGGTCTTTATTTTCAAACGGTGGCCTACTGGCATAGCAAGGGGTTCAGGGCCATGTTTGGTTTCCCCCCTCCCCAAGTTTGTAGTGAAGATCTAATGCATTGCTGGACATGCCTATCTTTGCCTCTCTTAGAGGTACATGTACATTTTTTTTCCTTGTGAAAACTGAGTTTGTTTTAACCATTCATGGATACCCGGTACCCTTCTTTCGCCACGATGATGTTGTATTACATTGGAAAATATTCCCAAATGTTAAGGCATACCAAAATTTTGATGAGCATCCAAGTTTTGAATTGAAAGGCCAGACTCTAAAGTTTGCTACCTACTTTTTAAATATGGCGAGAAGCAAAAGTTGGTGTGATGCAAACTAGGTACTTCTATCATACATGTAGGTTGAAGAACGCTGTTGAATACCTAATTACGCAAGAAGTGTACATGAATGGTACAACGTACAAGTAGCAGCAGTTGTTCACAAACTAATCATGAAAGCACAAAAAAATGAAACAAAATGAACTAAATAATAACATAAAGGACCAGGTTTTTTTAATCAGGGATAATTTTAAAGACCTTGATTTTTTTGAATGCTGAGAATACACCGTGCAGTTGCCTTGCTGCAAGTAAATTAAGCCAGCACTTGTTCATAACATGCACAATGCACAATTACATTTCCACAGTTTACATACATGTATCAATACATGTAAATACATGTATGTAGGCACAGGTTACAGTGCACCTGCTGAGATCAGCTGGAAGATGACCACTGACACACATGCAAGCTGCAGGCCTAATTACTCTTTCCGCCGAAAGATTTAATGCACAGCAAAAAAAAAATAAAATACCCTGTACAATGTGCATGTGGTGCATGCACTGTACTGTACATGTGCTGTACCACAGTGCACATGTATGTACATACAAGGGACATCCAGGTACCAAACACTGTATGCATGTACATATTTACATATGTAACATGCATAATGTGGGTGTCGAAGGGGGCTTTTGAGTACAAAGAGCTCTGCAGTTGACTTCCAATTTTTCAGGTAGGTTTTTTTGGCATGTTGGATAATTAATGTACAGGTACAAGTAAAAAAAGGTTTCTATTCACTTTCACAATTTAATCCCAGGAAAGAAATCCTGGGATTGCTGTTTGACAGCCTGGGCACAAACCCAATGAGACTGGTTTGAAATACATACAGTTGAACCTTCAGACCTGACAAATTCCATGTACCTTATTATTACAGGAACCTTATCAGGAATGAAAACAATGAAAAAAGAAGGATCAAGACCTAACAATTTCCTTGTTATAAGCAGAATCTTGTTTTAACAGTGTTCTTATTAACAAGGTTCGAGTGTATCCTGTTCTCTAGGTGAATACCGGTACCTTAATATTTTCATGGCTAAATTTGACTTTTCAGGACAATTTATTGCTTTCAAATGGCTAAAACTAACACTAGGTCACTGTCGCGAGAAGTTAGTGGCAGTAGAGAATTCTTTCGCAATCCTGTGTGCATGAATCTGCCGCATCTCTACTGCAGGCATAACCGCATAAGTACATATATTTTGTAGTAATTTAATTTTATAATGCATTATGGGGCCAAGGCACATTTGGTCAATCTGTGTCATTGCTCAATCTTTGCCCAATAAAAGAAATTGACAGTATCGTTGAAATACGCAAGGCCGGGGGGAAGTTCTTGGGATTGGTGTACTGGGCACCGCATTCCTATAATAGAACAGAAACTTCTTAACTTTTGGACTCGGAAATATTATGGATTGATCGAAGCGGGCAAGGGGAGCAACCTCGTCCCCCTGATGTTGAGCAGTGTGCCTATACATGTACATGTACGTGCATGAACCTATAGGTAGGCTACTCTCTTTTGGAAGCCGAAATGGAAATACATGTATTGACTGGTCATCAGGATCCCAATTGCAATTTTCTTCCCATATGGTGCATAGCAAAATTCACAAAGGCTGGGTCCTGTAGCGAATAGAGACCAGTTTAACTGGAAATCAAGTAACCACTGAGGATGAGGTTGAGGAAAACGTGGCGATGGTGCAGTGGCGTGTCTAGTGAGGGGGCAGGGGGGCAACTGGCCCGGATGGAATTTTTTTTCCAAAGAATACAGTGTTTCACACCGGTAGGTGAGTAGGAAAGAAAGTAAACTGTATAGTTATCAAATATTATGACCAAAACCCTTTGGAAGAGAATAACACCACAAAATAAAAGCAAGGATATTGCGACCGGTGAGTCAGGCTTTTGACATTTTTTCTCTCTCTCCCAACATCATGATGAATGAGCCTGAACCTGCATTCGCTTTTGAATTTGCCTCCCCCTTCCCCCCCGAACACCAAAAGTCTTGACAGCTGTTCCATGTCAAGACATATGTAATAAATGGACTGGGGGATAAGATACTGCATGTACCAATGGGCTCTTCCAAAACTTTGGCAGCACTTTAGATGTCTTGACATGGAACAGCCGTCGAGACGATGAGGGGTCAAGTGACGTATTGTTCAATGACCTTATTTTAAAGATGGCAACTGAGAGAGCGAACCTGTTAGATTGAATGGATAAAGGCAAAAAGACTGGAAAATACTAGAATAACGTGAGTGAAATCATTCAATAAATGGTTTTTAGAAAACGAAAAAGTCAAGAATCATTTTCGTGTGCAAAAGAAATTGCGCCCACGATGATAAGTGGGTGTGCCGAAATGTTCAATACGCCTACACGAAATTGCGTATACAGATGTGTGGCTAAGGATGGATCGGGAGTGAGAGTCCGTGCCACACTAGTGGGGCTAATTTTCTCCCAATTAACATTCTATACAAAAAGAAGGACCGGTCAGCAAAACTATGAAAACATTATGGCCCGAGGTTGCACCGGCATCTTTTGTCATTACTGTTGTTTGTCAGAATAACAGAAACAGCAAGAAATGGAGGGATCAAAAAAAAATCAACCCATTTCTTTTATTAATATAGAAAGTCAAGACTGAGTTACGCGACTTAAGGGGATAGCATTTGTCAACTTCTTCAACATGTGAAGTTGGCCTACTGTACTGTACATGTACTTCTAGCAAAGTGTATCCCACATGAGCAACTTACCCCTGGGGCCCGTCGTCCGCCGCACTTCCACGAACGGACCCCATGGGGGTTGGCCTAACGTACCTACATGTTTACAAAAAAGCCCGTGTATTGTAGGCCTAAAAAGTAACACACTGGCAAAAATTAAATATCTCACCTCACTGCGAGCTGGCGGTCGATTGACGCAAACATTCGCTGTTACCACGCCGAAAATATACAAATGAGAAAGAAAAACAACGAGTGCCCCCATATTTTCGGACCCAAACGTACCCCCGAAAAACACACTTATAATTTCTCTATCATATTTAACTGAAATGACAGCTTTGAAGCGCCAGCCAAGATCGTACGTATATGCGTACGCGGAAGCTCGAAGAGAGACAGCGCTGGCAACGCTGCACGCCGCCCTCTACTGGCACCCAGCTCCCGCCGGAACAAAAAAAAAAAGATTATTACAACAATAGCATAAAACGTAACCAAATGGGCCCTGGGAAACCCTCAAAAATGAGTAAGCATATTTGTGACCATCCAAATCACCCCGTTTCTATGATAACAATTATCAATAAAAAACCCCGCATGTACACATGCTTCAACAGCTTTGATAAAGTGTCATTCAAAAACGGATTTCAAAGATATAAGGCCTAGTTCAAAAAATTAACTAACAAGGAACCTTTTACTTCCAAAACATATTTTGCTGAAATACTGAAAATCTACCCATCGACATCTACAGACATCTATCATAAAACCTGTTTACGAAATGTCCCGAAAAATTTGAAATTTCACTTCTTGACCGTACCACGGGCATCTAAATAAACTTGTTCAAGAAGCTGCACACCGCCCTCTGTTGACCCTGGATGTTCGAACACAATTGCATTGTACTAATTAAGACTTTATTTTTAGGGAGAAAAATTATGTTTCGTACATGAAAGTGGTCTGATTCTCAGACCCTAACATCTCGGATCGAAACTAAATTCAGATACATCTAGGTCTAATAGTCGCCACTGTCACCAAAAATTCATTCCCGTTTCCAAGAATTTCAGAATCTACATGGCCAAAACTTTCCTTACCGATTTTCAAGTTGATTTTTGGGTAATGTTGTCATTGTCAGTAAGTATCGCGGGCAGATTTACCCATTATGCATCACTATTCGAGTTCCTCACTTTTTCAGTTTTTTTGGTGCCGCCTTTGTTGTCCCAGTTACAGTCGCTGTTTTAGATTCATTGCTGGAGATCAGTTCTTGGTTGGCCGGGGATTGCTGTAAATCTTTAAATTAACCAAACTGAAGAGTGACCAGTCGTTAAAGTCAATGTGTGTAATGGAACTGAATCACCATCATCGAATATAAAAATTATTCCGAAGTTTTCGCGACAAGTGGCCATTTTGGATCCGAACATGGATGCAGAATTATATAGCCAGGTGGCTTTGTATGGATTCGTATATCTCCCATCCATCGGAATGCTTCCCCTCTATGGATCTCACCTCTCAAATGAAGCAGGAAAATAAAGCTGTTGGAATGGCTTTCACGGGTTATGCAAAAGTGGAACTAAAATCGTTATATCTTTTCTGGGGGGGGGGTTCCTGTATTGTGAAGAGGCAAAGAAGTTGAGAAGTAATATTCATGCGATCTCTGTCGTCTTCAAGTGTTTGGGCTAAATTCTTGGTGTTTTCACACCTCGAAAAGAATGAAAATGTGTTTTAAGAAAAACTGGGCTCTTTGGGGGGGGGGGGCTTTGGTCCCGCATGGGATCTGCTCTATGGCGATTAGATAAATAAATCTACTTTATTCATCATTACAAAATCATTATACTGCAGTACTCTATTGAACGCTTCTCATTTCCATCACGCACGGGTATAAATCCCAGGTGGGGTGGTATAACCAACCCCACACCCTGGGGGGGCTATTGAATTACCCACCACCACCACCACACACACACCCTTTATGTGATGAGCAAAATAATGTTAAGTGGATTGAGAAGAACTTTTAGGACTTCCCAACGACTAAAATGTTTGCAATGTTACTAAACAGGGGAAACAATTTTACAAAGCCATAAATGTTCCATTACAATGTAAAATCCTACATGAATTTGATACACATTACAGATGTACATCTTTACCATGAACATCGCCCCCTATATAGAGTACACAATGATCATACCCCCGCCTCGCTTTTCAAATTTCCATGGCCAGTGAGTCACCCCCCCAGCTTTACCTACCCTCCCCCTAATTTCTAGCACTGATTTACACTACTGCCATCATGGGATCTTTAACATAAAAACCCTTAATTAAGTCACGCGTGAATCTTTATATTTTCGTTTCGTTTTATATGGAATTCCATTACTACCATTCTACGCGTTGCATATGTGGGGTTGTTGGTTGAGTCTGTAGCCACATAAGCCGTCAGCGGCACATAGTTGCGTCGTGCCGTCGCATCGTCGTCGCATCGTCGATTCAACATTTCTGTGATTTTTTCGGTATTTTGTAGATGGCGCTGTTTTGATGGCAGCCACAGACTTGATGATATCGATTCTACCTGTTGCAATTCTATCTGTTCAACGATTTATAAAAATTCGCGCAATTTCTCACGTTGTGGAGAAGGTATTGCAAGTCTCTTGCGATGTATACAATTTATGGAGTCTTTTTAGTATTTTTCTTGCTAGAACTAGTTTTGCTTGAAAAAGATGAACGCAACTTTATGAGATTCGCAACTAATGAGCCGTTTGCGCTGGAAACTGGACAGTATCCTTTTATGACTTCATGCATGAAGTTTTTCGGTGCCTATCCTACCAACTTCAATGCAGGGTGCTTTCCATTTCCCTGAAAATTATACATTAATTTTGCTCTGTTTGTGGTACTCTTTTGTGTATGATGTTATACAGATAAAACCCTAAAAATGCTGGGGGGAGGGAGTACCCAGTTACTTGGATTGCATGGGTCTGGCCGGCATTTTCCCTTTAAATCATTAAAACTCAAATGTTGCAGAAGGAACAGTGATGTCGACATCAACAGTTGATACGGTTCAGTTATTTC